AAATCCCAGCTGATCATGGCTTTTCTATTGATTTACATAGAATTATTTCGAAATATTTCAGCACAACCAAAGATAGGGATGAAACATTACAAAAACAGCAAAAAAACTGGAATTCCATGCCCTGGAAAAAAGGCAAATATTTCAAGTAAGAGGTACCTATGCCCTTAGCTAAGTTGAGGATGGACTTCAAAACGGCAACGACAAAACAACAGCAGCGTACGCTATGCGTATGTGTGTGGTGTTTGCTAACAGCGATAACGTATACGACGTGACCGAAAGATAATCGTCAACGTTACATACAAACTGCTACAAACACCCCCAGATCACCACTACCAACCCCTCAGAAAAAAACGAATATCTTTCAGTTTTTATTCTATGATTGTTTTGTTTATTTCTCGTTGTGCGGGGGAGAAGTAGAAGAGAGCTCAATATGAGGAATGTAATTGTAGTTTTGTGGCCCGCCATAAAAATATCAGCTACAAACTACAAGTTTTTTTTTTTCGTTTTCGTTTATTATTGCCAGTAAAATTAGTTTTGTCAACCAAACAACTATCCACCAAAGTGTGCAGTGTGTGTAACATTATTACTTCTGCCGCTGCTGCGCTGCTCTGATGGGCTCTGTCGACATCGTTTGTTATTGTTTACGTTTAAGGGGGGAAAACACGACAACGACGACGACGATATTAACTACAGAGAATTTTACGAAACGAAACAAATGGCAACAACACTACTCCACCACACATGCCTACCACCCATCATGTTTCATATTTAGTAATTAACTCTTACCCTGTGCTTCGTGTAAAAACTAGTACTCTCTCTCGGCTCATTGTTATGGCTCTCTGCCGTTACTCCCTCTCATTTGTGTTGGGGGAATTTTTCCCCAGCCTTTGTTGATGGTTTCATGTAAACAGCCATGACACAACATCAACGGCCGCCAGCCATCCATCCCCACCAAAACACACACACACACACTCGCATACATACACCCCTCACCAAAGTAGTTGTGGTATCATAACTAAAGCTCTCTGTAACCCAGAGAGAGAGGGAGATAAAGTAAGCCAGAGAGCTCTGCCGCCATCATGAGTTATGTGTGTGTTCTATTGGGGGAGATGTCATTGCAGTCATTTTAACATTTTTAACTTGGGTTCTTTACCAGAAAGGAAAAGAAAAACGAAAGAAAACAACAAAGGTAAGTAAGTGCATGTGTGTGTGAGTTAATTTCACAAAGTAGTTAGGTAGAAGGCAGTTTTCTTGGTTATTTTTCTTGTTGTTTCTTTTGGTGTTTTTGCCATTTAAAGAAACCCTTCTTTTTATGAGGCCCCCTCCCTTCCCTCTTTGTTTGTTATTTTTCTCTTGGACATAAGGCGCAAAAATCCAAGGCATAACAAAAGGAAAGAAAAAAAAAACAAAAAACCATGGCATCGCTGCCGTTGCCATTATTTGTCGTTGGTGGTGATGCATACCAAGCCAAAAGAAGCCGAACAACAAACAGCAGAAGAAGTAGGAAAACCAGAAGAGGCAGCAGCAGAGGCAGAAAAACACGTCTTTGTTTTGCCCAAGGTAGGAACGAAAAACACGACGACTTTTTTTCTTAAGTAGTTGGTTCAAATTGCCTCACACTACCAAACTCACGTACTCTCTTCTTGATTTCCTTTGGAAGACCACCATTACCACCCAATACTCCTCTCTCTCATCCTTGCCGTTGCTTTCATTTGCTCCTCATCAACACTACTACTCAACAAATTATACCAGCCAGCCAGCCGATATGTATTTTAGTTGCTTGTCATCGTCATCATCTTCTGCTTCTTCGCAAATGAAAACACCAACCGAGCTCTGTAGTTGTTTGGCGGCGACGGCGGCAATTTTGTTTAGTTAGTGGCTTTACATTTTGTTGCTGATTTCTACACATAAGGTGGGAGAGGAATGGGGGATGGGGTATAATAGTACATGTGTGTGTGTGTGTGTGCCTGTTTGTATGCCATAGCTATTGTTATTATTATTTCACTTGAAATTGTTTGCCGCTGCTGTTGTTTCTGCTGCTGTGCCTGCCAATGTTGCTTAGTTTGTGCCATTTTCATCGGTTTCGGTTTTTAAGTTCGTTTGCAAAATGGGAATCCAAGCATTTCTGCCTCGCTAACATGTCGCTGTTGTTGTAGCTGCTGACAGTCCCACTATTTTCAGTCTTTGTTGATTGTTAGACATTAACTGATGTTCTCGAGTTCTTAAGCCAAATTGGCATTAATTCTCAACTTGGCATTTCAGCGTGGACTTGGAAACAGAAAAAGCCTTCCTGATATAAATAAATGCAGTCTTTTCTTCAAGTGCAAATTTTTCTAGTGCAGTGTTTTATTTTTTCAAAAAAAAATATTCCTTTGATTGTTGGATTTTTTTTCTGATTTTCTGGGTCGCTCAGTATTTTTCCACTCAGCATTCATAGAGACTCGACGTTCGTTGCCGTCATCCGTGCATCCATCAATGGCCGTTTTTATTCGTTTTCATTCAACTAAACATTTAGTAGCGTCTACAACACATTTTTTATTGATTTTTATAAACAAAGCGGCAAGTAGAATAAATAGAGAGGCCCAAATTTCAGCGGAAGATTTATATTGTTTTAAATTTATAAGGGGTGGACCATATATTCCATCTTCACACCAGACCTTGAGTTATTAAAATATTGGGATGTGTGCAATTGGAAGACGATCGAACTCTTACAACATATTTTAGAAGAGTTAGAATTGTTCAAAATTTTTACCCTTTGTGTGGGAGGTACCAGAAGGAATGGTCCGATATCTACCATCTTTATAACAAATTTTGTGTTAATGGAAATATGAGATTTACCAAGTCTGAAAAGGAATCGAATGATGATTTGGCGATTAATGAGCTTCATTGATATTCAAAATTTTGACCCTTTGTGAGGGAGATACCAGAAGGAGTGGACCGATATGTTCCATCTTCACAGCAGATCTTGTGATAGTATAAATAATGGGATTTTTGAAATATGAATAGCGCCAAATGCTTATTTCGGATTTTATCATCGATTTGGTTATTCAAAACGTTGACCCTTTGTGGGAGGAGGTACCAGGGGGAATGGTCCGATCTCTAACATCTTTATAGAAAATCTTATGTTGATGGAAATATTGAAATGTCCCAAGTTTGAATGGAATCGGATGTTAATTTCGCGTTTTATGAGCTTCATGGATATTCAAAATTTTGACCCGTTGAAGGAGTGTACCGATAGTTCCATCTCCACCAGCAAATCTTGTGTTAGTAGAAATAATGGGATTATGTGAAAGTTTGAAGAGAGGTCGGAATGCTTATTTCGGGTTTTATTATCGATTTGTGTTATTCAAAACTTTGACCCTTTGTGGGGAGGTACCAGAAGGAATGGTTTGATCTCTATCATATTTACAGCAAATATTGTGTTGGTAGAAATATTAAGATGTGCCAAGTCCTGAATGAAATCAGATATTAATTTCCCCGTTTTATGAGCTTCATGGTTATTCAAAATTTGACCTTTGTGGGGGATGGTACCAGAAGGAGTTGACCGATATATCCCATCTTCACAACAGATCTTGTGCTGATGGAAATATTGAGATGTACCGAGTTTGAATGGAATCCGATGTTAATATAGCGTTTTATGAGCTTCATGGATATTCAAAATTTTTACACTTTGTGGGGGGGAGGTACCAGAATGAGTGGAGCGATATATTCCATCTTCACAGCAGATCTTGTGCTGATGGAAATATTAAGATGTAACGAGTTTGAATGGAATCGGATGGTAATTTCGCGTTTTATGAGCTTCAGGGATATTCAAAATTTTGACCCTTTGTGGGGGAGGTAACAGGAGGAGTAGGTCTTTATGTTCCATCTTTGCAGCAGATCTTGTACCAGTAGAAATAATGGGATGTTTGAAATATGAAGAGCGCTGGATGCTTATTTCGGATTTTATAATCGATTGGTTAATCAAAATATTGTACCCTCTGTGGGGGAAGAACCAGAAATGGTTCCATCTCTACCACCTTTATAACAGATCTTGTGTGATGAAAATATTGAGATGTGCCAAGTTTGAATCGAATCCGATGTTAATTTCTCGTTTTATGAGCTTCATGGAATATTCCAAATTTTGAGCCTTTGTGAGGAGGTACCATAAGTAGTGGACCGATATATTCCATCTTCACACCAGACCTTGGGTTAATAAAAATATTGTGATGTTCAAAATATGAAGACAATCGGACAGTTATTTCACATTTTATAAGAGATATAATTATTCAAATGTTGGACCCATTGTGGGGGAGGTACTAGAAGGAGTGGACCGACATTGTCAATTTTCGCACCTGACCTAGCACTTATGCAAATATTAGGATTTGCAAAGTTGGAGGAAAAATTGGATTATCCTTTTCTTTTTGTGCTGTAGAATATTTTTTGGAAAATTTGGACATTTTGTGCGAAAGGTTCCAGAAGGAATGGATTTTACGTATATTACGATATACCAAGTTTGAACCAAATCGGATACTCCCTTCAAGAGTTATCGGCCCACCAGACAGACGGACGGACATCGTTAGATCGACTTCAAAGGTCCTGAAATGGATTTGGTGCAAAGACACCTAGTGTTTTATCTTTTTTTGTTGGAAAAGCTTTCCTATAGCTTTTAAAAATCACCTTTTACATCTACTTTATATAAAGGTCCCAAATAGGGTTTTTAAAGAAAATCAAGTTTGGTAGGTCCATAAAAAATTCATGCCAGATACACTTAAAAATTTGACTTAAGTTTTTCTTTAAATCTACGATTTTTGCCTACTTTAAATTTTGTATTTAAATTATAACATGTAAAATTTTAATATTTCTTGAGAGCAGGCTGTTTAAATCTGTATTCTTATGGAAAATATCCATCTAAATTATGGAAAATATCTTTTTTTACCCATGATTATGATTATGGCTCTAAATACTCTTCAAAACCTATTAACGTACATTTAGAAAAATCGATCGGGTTTGATACTTACATTATTAGAACTCAAATTCTCCCAAATTCAATTCTTAACAACATTTCGCATCAAAAACATTTTTATAGCCAGCCGCGTTTACGTTATCACGCCGTACATTTTCAAATAGGGTACGTATAAACGTATAAACGTATACTCAACGTAATCGGGACGATCTATAGGCGCGAGCGTTTTTCGAGTAGCTTTTTAGACCGATATCGAAAAGCTAGCTATACGCGTACCGTACCGTTACAAATCGAACGTTTGATTGTATTAAACGCTGTGTCAACGTTTCGCTTCGCGTCGATTCACGGTTAGAGCTGGACGTAACGGGGACAATTCGTTAATCCATGGGACATCGTGGGGAGAGAGAGCTGAAAATGGAAAACCAAATATGACAATTTATGAGGATTTGAATATAAGAATAAAATATGTATTATAAAATATAATTCACTAAAAACGTTTGTAATTTATGCAATAGAAAAAGAAAACATTTATATATATATATATATATATATAATATATATATATATATATATATATATATAATATATATATATATATTATATATATATATATATATTTAACGACTTCATTTTTAAACTGTAAATTTTGTGAAATCGGTTAGAGAATGTATCGGAATTTTGTGGATAAAAATACGATTATGTCTTCAATTATACGAAATTTGTTATACCCTCAGCTGTGGTATAATCATTTAATAAAGCCAAAACGTGCCTAATCGAAAGAACGATTTTAGGCCCAGGTCTTTTAGCACGAATTCTTTTTCAGAATATTTAGAGTCGATAACTCCCAAAGGTAGTATCTGATTTCGTGCAAACTTAGTACATCGTACAAAAGGTGCACCTTCCCATAAGGGCTCGAAGGTCTAAAAAAATTATAACTGTCATATCTTACGAAACATGTCAAAGATTTTCTTCAACCACCCACCTCCTAAATATTCATATCAAACATAGATTAATGTAATTATGGGACATGTCGGGATTTTAAAAATGGTCTCATATAGACATGGCAAAACAACAGAGGTATCTCATTTGCTAACGGCAAAGTCCGTTATTTAAGTAGCAAAGGCTCACATAAAACAAATTTGTTAACCCTTGAATAATTGGTAATGAAGAGAAAAAGAGAGAGTGTAAATGACAGTAATATACAAGATATTTAAAGAAATACAAATATATAGCATAATTTGGAGTACTAAACTGCTAATTTAAAGGCTAAAATGTACGAATTATAACTTAATTGGGGTCGAGGCGTACTCAAATTAAGATATTGGAAATATCGGGAGTATGCGCTTGGTTTTGTGTCTTTGCTACTCTATTTTTATTTTTTTTATTCATCTGAATCCGCTTCCTGTCCTGTTAGAGTTGGAATTTCCGCAGAAATCAGGAAACTAAAATACAGGTACTACAGTTGAATTTCAAATAGAAAATAAACAAAAATGAGAAATTTTGACAACATGAACAATGAAAAAAAAAAAAAACTGTATAACCAGCGCTGCTCAAAAACAAAACTTCGCTCACCAGTCAAATTTCTCTTTGTTTTTTTTTTTTTTTTTTTT